CATCATCCTTTTGATCATGGGCTGCAGCTTTAATTTCTGTTTCCTTGTTGCCCACAGCAGGAGTTTCACCTTTTTCTCCATGATTGTCAACTGCAGTTACACCTTGAACCTGTTCCTCGGTTTGCTCAGTGTAATCAACCACAGCAGTTGTGCAACCTTGAATTTCAGCCAACCATTTCATTGTACCAGCAATAAAATCATGGACATTCAACATTTTTGCGTGAAACCATATATCATGCTTTGTTGCAGCATCATCAGGCAATAGACCCAACAAAACCTTATGCACTTGGTGTATTTCTTCAGACAAACCCACAAACTTGTTTAATTCACCTTTGACCTCATTTGCATGTTCTTTACCTTCCATCAGAACAGCAATAGTTTGTTTTAGTTTAGACAGTTTATTTATTTTAGCCTTTCTTTCTTTTTCTAAATTGCTTATTTTTTCCAATAAGGCTTTGGTTGTTAATTTCACCTCACGCTTTTCTTTTTTCTCAGTTTGCGCGTTTACCTCCCCACCCACATTAAGGTCAGTCTCACTCCCAGAATGTCTGTCCGGTTTCTCCTTTTCTGCCATGTTGGCCAAAAGTCAAAAGTCAACTCTTTATTTATTTATCAGCACAAAAACGCATGCCCCGACGCGCAAAGTTTATTCAAGGCAGTTGCGAGTCCGCTACCAATGCATTGGATTTACGCATATTGTACCGTTATGTGTGCACACACTATTTACAATGGCCATTAATAGACGTCAGCGCTGAACAACATACCCCAATAGTGCGTTGGCCCGCATTGATGATCTGACGTCCAGATGTCCGACGTGCGGTATCCCGGCGGCTCCAGCAGCCCGATCCGATGCAGCTCCAAGCCCGATGCCGGCGGCTCCAGTAGCCGCTCCGACGCGCGGTCCCGGCGGCTCCAGCAGCCCGCTCCGGTCCGATGCAGCTCCAAGCCCGCTGCGCCTCCCGGGGGCTCCAGTTGCCGCTCCGACGCGCAGTGTCCCGGCGGCTCCAGTAGCCGAGAGACAGGTGAGTAACGCAGCGTTCACTTTACCGGCTGGCTGAATCACAGTGCAACGGGTTCGGGTTTTTTTCTTCTTCCAAACGAAGCAGTTTTCGACCTAAATGTAGTGACTGGTCCTGTAGCCACTACTGGATGCTGATTGTTTTTTGTTTTGACGTGTACTCGGGCAAGGCAATAAACCAACGAAAACTTCCTTTGCGTTTGAAATAATAATGTTCATTTAATTTCTTGCGGAAGCCACATACTTAACACTTGTCTACATAAATTATAAACAGAAAAACGCACAAGCACAGTCGAAAACCGTTTGCTTCTCCCCTCTAATCAGCCTCACCTGTGCAACACTGAGTAACCTTAAGTAACCTGCCTGACCCCCCGCCAACATCCGCGTAGGGTCAGTAAACAAAGGAAATACTGCCCCCTGTATTTTGGAGGTACAGAATAAATAAATAAACACAACATGGCTCCTACAACTTGATTTAAACAGAGTGAATATGACACGTGAGAACTGGTTCATTAAAGTGAACACGTACAAAGAGACAAACTGCCTGTCGTGTAAATCAAAGTTACTACGTTAGTTATTTTTAATAATAAAAATGTTTTAAATAACAGACCTTATTAGACTTGTGGGTGATGACTGGAGGAACTTGACTCTTCAAAGTCTCCAAAATAACGTAGTTTTATTCCAGCCATGAAGTGATTACATACATTTTCTTTGGGAGCCTTAGTTCAATAAAAACAGCAGACACAAATCAACTTAATCAATAAATCATAAGGGGAGAGGAGCCAGCAACAGCATGGTCAAAAGCTGTCTGCTCCCAGTCCGCCACGCCTTCTCCTGGTACTCCTCCTATTTATAGGTCAGTCCTGTGAGACGGCACATACTCATACAAACATATAAACAACATTATTATTAAGTGCCAAGTGAATAGAAAATTAGGAAAAGGCTCCTGAAACGTGTTGTGTGTCTCTGGAAGTGATGAACCTGCAGAGAATGATCAGCTGAATCTGCAGCTCCTCATTGTTCATCTGTCCGGCCACAATCGTCTTCTCAGCTGGCAGCTGGTCTCTGATACCCTCTGACTTCTGATTGAAAAGTTTTCAGTATTGATTCCTGAGAGAGGAGAATCAGGATGCATGTAAGGTGACTTTCACACCTGTAGCTCAGCTCATTTGGTCTGGACCGAAGGAAGAAAATGATCCAGTATCTTTTATCTGGTCCGGTTCACTTCATCACACTCAGTGTCTCTAGTCTGATAGATTTGTTCTTCTGTAAATCAGTCAGCAGCTTCAGACCTTTTTCTCCTGGATCACTCTTGTTCAGCTCAAGAACTATGAGGTGTGAAGGGTTCGACTTCAGAGCTGAGGCCAGATACTCACAGCTGCTCTCTGTGCAATGTGACAACCTGAGAGAGAAAAACATTGTTTTATTACCACAGTAACAAAGAACACTGTCAGGTGTCTGTTCAAATCAAACATGTCGACACTGATTATAATTTAGGTCTGTTCTTTTA